TTCTATGTAGAGTTTTGTAGACTGTATTTGTTGGGGTTAGTGTTGCTCAGCCTTTAGTTTTCTATATAGAGTTTTGTAGACTGTATTTGTTGGGGTTAGTGTTGCTCAGCCTTTAGTTTTCTATGTAGAGTTTTGTAGACTGTATTTGTTGGGGTTAGTGTTGCTCAGTCTTTAGTTTTCTATGTAGAGTTTTGTAGACTGTATTGTTGGGGTTAGTGTTGCTCAGTCTTTAGTTTTCTTTGTAGAGTTTTGTAGACTGTATTTGTTGGGGTTAGTGTTGCTCAGTCTTTAGTTTTCTATGTAGAGTTTTGTAGACTGTATTTGTTGGGGTTAGTGTTGCTCAGTCTTTAGTTTTCTAAGTAGAGTTTTGTAGACTGTATTTGTTGGGGTTAGTGTTGCTCAGTCTTTAGTTTTCTATGTAGAGTTTTGTAGACTGTATTTGTTGGGGTTAGTGTTGCTCAGTCTTTAGTTTTCTATGTAGAGTTTTGTAGACTGTATTTGTTGGGGTTAGTGTTGCTCAGCCTTTAGTTTTCTATGTAGAGTTTTGTAGACTGTATTTGTTGGGGTTAGTGTTGCTCAGTCTTTAGTTTTCTATGTAGAGTTTTGTAGACTGTATTTGTTGGGGTTAGTGTTGCTCAGTCTTTAGTTTTCTATGTAGAGTTTTGTAGACTGTATTTGTTGGGGTTAGTGTTGCTCAGTCTTTAGTTTTCTATGTAGAGTTTTGTAGACTGTATTTGTTGGGGTTAGTGTTGCTCAGTCTTTAGTTTTCTATGTAGAGTTTTGTAGACTGTATTTGTTGGGGTTAGTGTTGCTCAGTCTTTAGTTTTCTATGTAGAGTTTTGTAGACTGTATTTGTTGGGGTTAGTGTTGCTCAGTCTTTAGTTTTCTATGTAGAGTTTTGTAGACTGTATTTGTTGGGGTTAGTGTTGCTCAGTCTTTAGTTTTCTATGTAGAGTTTTGTAGACTGTATTTGTTGGGGTTAGTGTTGCTCAGTCTTTAGTTTTCTATGTAGAGTTTTGTAGACTGTATTTGTTGGGGTTAGTGTTGCTCAGTCTTTAGTTTTCTATGTAGAGTTTTGTAGACTGTATTTGTTGGGGTAAGTGTTGCTCAGTCTTTAGTTTTCTATGTAGAGTTTTGTAGACTGTATTAGTTGGGGTTAGTGTTGCTGAGCCTTTAGTTTTCTATGTAGAGTTTTGTAGGCTGTATTTGTTGGGGTTAGTGTTGCTCAGTCTTTAGTTTTCTATGTAGAGTTTTGTAGACTGTATTTGTTGGGGTTAGTGTTGCTCAGTCTTTAGTTTTCTATGTAGAGTTTTGTAGACTGTATTTGTTGGGGTTAGTGTTGCTCAGTCTTTAGTTTTCTATGTAGAGTTTTGTAGACTGTATTTGTTGGGGTTAGTGTTGCGCAGTCTTTAGTTTTCTATGTAGAGTTTTGTAGACTGTATTTGTTGGGGTTAGTGTTGCTCAGCCTTTAGTTTTCTATGTAGAGTTTTGTAGACTGTATTTGTTGGGGTTAGTGTTGCTCAGCCTTTAGTTTTCTATGTAGAGTTTTGTAGACTGTATTTGTTGGGATAAGTGTTGCTCAGCCTTTAGTTTTCTATGTAGAGTTTTGTAGACTGTATTTGTTGGGGTTAGTGTTGCTCAGTCTTTAGTTTTCTATGTAGAGTTTTGTAGGCTGTATTTGTTGGGGTTAGTGTTGCTGAGCCTTTAGTTTTCTATGTAGAGTTTTGTAGACTGTATTTGTTGGGATAAGTGTTGCTCAGCCTTTAGTTTTCTATGTAGAGTTTTGTAGACTGTATTTGTTGGGGTTAGTGTTGCTCAGCCTTTAGTTTTCTATATAGAGTTTTGTAGACTGTATTTGTTGGGGTTAGTGTTGCTCAGTCTTTTTTAACATAGCTTTTCTGATATAATATTTTCCATTTTAAAAATCTGCAACAAATTTACTGTTTTCATGAAGTATTCCTATACCTAAACCAATAGTTGCTAACTATTATGTAATTTGGTCTCTGGTGACGAGTTGTTTCATTGGCAATCATACCACATCTTCTTTGTTTTTATATCAAGTATTGATTTATTGATGAGCTTCAAGGCAACCAAACAGTTTATACATGTAAACCAAGTTGATGATGTGATGAGTATGAATTCCTTCACAAGTGAAATAGTTCTATAAGTGTTGACGAAATTTTTATTTTGGACATAATTTTAGATGTATTTTATTGTAATTATTTGAAATAAAATTTTTGTTTACAGAGTTTCTTGATGTGAAAATTCAGCATTCTGCTAACAAACTTAAAAAAAAAAGCCTTTGGACTTTTATCAGTTTATAGGGGGTCAATTTACACATCAATTTTTAATTTGGCAGAGTTTGCATGATTCATTAAATTCCACCAAATAACCTTTATCACCAGAACTATATTGAAACCTTCAATAGCATCACAACATTGTACTGTATTATCCATTGAAATAATAGTCTTCATGTAAATTAGATTTTTGTTAATGCAATATCATTTATATGACAAAGTTCCATTATAACATTAACAGTAACAATTTTATTGCACCAGATGTGCATTTCTAGAATTATTGACACTTCAGTGATGCTTTAGGCAAAATTGTTACCAGAATAATGTCAAGTTTTATTTGAGATAAAATGTAAGCATGGATTATTTCTGCCTTATAACTTGGCTGATGATCAGGTTAACCCTTGAAAATTAGAACAAATAAGGACTGTAACAGTTTGTCCTTTTTTTTAAGTGAAAAAATATGAACTTTAAAGGCTTATCACTCCTAGACATTAAGAAATTTGGTACATTTGTTATTTATTTCCTTGTCTGCATATATATTTAAACAAATGTATTTTCGAACATGTAAAAATAATTAGATGTGGTATGATTGCCAATGAGACAACTATCCACCATAGTTCAAATGAAGTGAATGTTAGCAATTATAGGCAATGGTCTTCTTTTGATATCAAATATCAATGGAGAAAGTGTTCCCTTACAAACGTTATCTTAGATAACAAAAGCATTACATTCTGATCGACCTTCATATTTATTTGTCAATAGAGTTAAGGGTGATTGTAAGACATAATCAATGTCTGCCATGAAAACCACTACTTTATCATGTGATTAATTTTCCTGTAAACAGAATCTATATTCCTCATTTTTGTTTATTTATTATGATTGTCATGCCATAGGACTACTAAGGACAATCATGTGACAACCTAGAGATATCAAAGTCGGATAAGCACCAGTCATCAGTTAGATATAACTCAAGAAGAAACACAAAATTAGTGTTTAAATGTTATAATGGTCAAACTTAATGTCTCATAAATATTAGTAGAATCCTTATGTAAATGGTTGATATAAAAAACAATTCTAACAATTCTTTGTCACCTATAGATCCTTGTGTAAATGGTGGATATAAAACACAATTTTAACAATTCTTTGTCACCTATAGATCAATATACAATGTATGTTCTTTGAACATGAATAGTTCCGATAAGTAATTATCAGTCTTAGGATGAAGCAACAGTTTTTATTGAGCTCTTTTTAGCATCTTTATAACTCTCAATTGCAAAAAAAGTGTAAATTAATGGAACAAAAAACTTTCACTTGTACATAAACTTCATCAAAAACGTCTAAGCTTCAGGAAGTTGATTTCTGATTTGTATTTAAAGTGAGAAATATCTTATCAGGGAACCAACATGTTGATAACTTGGAAACCAAGACATCTAGACAGCTTTTATCATGATATGTATTTACAATGAGAAATATTTTATCAGGGAACCAACATGTTGACAACTTGGAAACCAAGACATCTAGACAGCTTTTATCATATTATAACTTGACTAATAATTAACTAATATTCAATGTGATGTAAACCAACTATTTATTTTATCATTTTTATTTTCAGAGTTACTTTTGTATTGTTTTCACTTCATCATTTTCCAAGTGTGAAATAATGTACCGTTTAACATGTTTAATTAAGAAATAATTCTTTCATGCCATGCTCTATGCTCATTTTAAGATGGGAAGGCATTATATTTGTCAATATCTTTATACCAAGCATAAGCAATGTTTAAAATGTTGAGAAATATGATATAGAGCATGGCATGATAGAATTATTTCAATTCAAATAAAAAAATTTTGAAGGGGACCTGTAAGACACATTCAAAAGGTAGCCATTTAGATTCGATTAAAACATGAATTGAAACATGTAAACTTACTTTAAGAATGATTTTACAAAAAAAAATATCCATTTTGATCTCAGGCATTTTTCAAAATACAACTGACATTGTTTTAAGGGTGACGTAATGCACATGCACCCAATGTTTTAATGGAATTAGAACATGGCTTTGTTTATAAATCGAAAGATGATTTCATAGATATAAGAAGATGTGGTATGAGTGCCAATGAGACAACTCTCCATCCAAGTCAAAATTTATAAAAGTAAACCATTATAGGTCATGTATTAGAATTAGGGCTTGTGTCCATTTAACCACTATCATATTTATCTGAAAGTAGTTAGTTATATTTCAGATTGCTATCTAACCAGGAACTTGGGGTTTAACTTTGGCATAAAACTAAATGAAGTTAAACAAACTGTATCAAAGCCACTGACCATGTTCATGTGACCATAATCTTTTGCCACATTGTCTGTCTCTCCAATATGCATTGCCACACAAAGATATTGCTATATGGTTATTAGATTCTTGGAAATAGCACAGGCATGTAAATGTGGAATCCTTCCATGATAAAATGCTATTGGTAAATATGAGGCAAATCTAAGGAAAAGTCACCTAAATCAAGCAGAAACTACACATGCTGATATTTGTTCTTATATTCCTCTGTAACAATTAAGACCAAACTGACCACTTCAAACAAAATCAGTAAATAAATGTATTGTGACACTTTTGTAAACACCAAAGGTAATCAGGATCTTTTCTACTGCTGTTTTTGAGGGTTGATAAAAAAAATTTTGTATAATGTTCTTGTTAGACTCACCGTTTAATAAAGATTCACCAAACACCAGAAAATACAACACATTATTGACTCCTATCTCTTGGAAAATGGCCAGAACCTGAAATATAAAAAAAATACCAGAATAACAATAGCATGCATGATTCAAGGCTAAACATTTAAAGATGTCTAAATCTACTCTGACCTAGAACCTTAAACCATTGATTATTTGTAAAATTGGGTGTTGATGGATGGCAGATCTTTCATCGTTTTTCGTTAACATTTATTCACATCTCTCATAGATGGAATGATTTTCTCAATAATTCTATGTCATATACACCAAACAGTACTTACAGCCACTGGGTCTACAGCAACTATTATGGAACTAAATACAAGGCACTCAATCATTTCTATGCTAATATCACCCATCGCTCCACTATTAACCAAGCCATATAAAGTTGGACCTGCAAAGTGAACATCTTTTATAAAAAGGAATCTTTTTATTATAATAACAAATATAAGCACAAAAACCACAATGAACTGTCAACTCAAATGTTAACAGCAACAAATCATACATATCCCCTCTTACATCCTAGAAAATATCTGACAATCAATTATTACATGTCTTTTTTCACTATAGACTTTGGCATCATCCAATAATCTCATATCTTTCTAATGGCTCTAGCAAAGGTCCAATTTGGTTGCAGACTGATACCATTGCCAATATAAAGAAACATGTAATAATATATATATAATGACTATTTTGTTGTCAGATATGATTTTAAAAACATATTAACTTGCATGATGCACAAAAAATATTCCAGATTATTAAAAACAAAATTCAACAGATACATACCTATAAGGAAACAATTTAGCACAGTTCCCTGAAAGCACAAATAAGTTATACATTAAAACTGAGGCAAATATTTAACATAATAAAATTGTATAACATAATGCAAATTCCTTTACTAGGACACTTCTTTACTATTTATTGGTGAACAGACTTGTTTGTACTAGGACACTTCTTGATTATTTATTGGTGAACAGACTTGTTTGTACTAGGACACTTCTTGACTATTTATTGGTGAACAGACTTGTTTGTACTAGGACACTTCTTTACTATTTGTTGGTGAACAGACTTGTTTGTACTAGGACACTTCTTTACTATTTATTGGTGAACAGACTTGTTTGTACTAGGACACTTCTTGACTATTTGTTGGTGAACAGACTTGTTTGTACTAGGACACTTCTTGACTATTTATTGGTGAACAGACTTGTTTGTACTAGGACACTTCTTGACTATTTGTTGGTGAACAGACTTGTTTGTACTAGGACACTTCTTTACTATTTATTGGTGAACAGACTTGTTTGTACTAGGACACTTCTTGACTATTTATTGGTGAACAGACTTGTTTGTACTAGGACACTTCTTGACTATTTGTTGGTGAACAGACTTGTTTGTACTAGGACACTTCTTGACTATTTATTGGTGAACAGACTTGTTTGTACTAGGACACTTCTTGACTATTTGTTGGTGAACAGACTTGTTTGTACTAGGACACTTCTTGACTATTTATTGGTGAACAGACTTGTTTGTACTAGGACACTTCTTGACTATTTGTTGGTGAACAGACTTGTTTGTACTAGGACACTTCTTGACTATTTGTTGGTGAACAGACTTGTTTGTACTAGGACACTTCTTTACTATTTATTGGTGAACAGACTTGTTTGTACTAGGACACTTCTTGACTATTTGTTGGTGAACAGACTTGTTTGTACTAGGACACTTCTTGACTATTTATTGGTGAACAGACTTGTTTGTACTAGGACACTTCTTGACTATTTATTGGTGAACAGGCCTGTGTTTTACAACATATCTTACAACTAAAATACAACTGCATACCAAATACCATTGATTTATCATAAGTGGTTACCTTAAAACTGACCTAAACACAAACTTTAACATGTAACCTATGCATAAGTTTCAAACTCAATGAGCCAAGATGAGGGGGTGGGGTAATATAATCTTGATGGATACAAGACTTGCAAATGCTAAAACAACTGCATACCAAATATTATTGACTTACCATTAGTGCTCTATCTTAAACTGTCCTTATCACAACATTTAACATGTAAACTATGCAGAAGTTTCAAAGTAAATAGACCATGACTGAGGGGGCAAGGCAAAATTATTTTCCATGGAAATGAGATGTGCCAATGCTAATCCAACTGTATATCAAATATCATCGACCTACCACTACTGATTCCCAATTAACTGACCTAATCAAAAACCTAAAACATTGTTGACTCCGCTGCCATTGATAGAAACAGCATAACCAAGTCTCACTTTTTCCTCTTTGTGGAGGCAAGACCAAAACAATTATGCAAGTGTTTATAAAAATGTTTTTAAATTCAAAAGTCTTCGAGGCTTCATCCTTGGGTTAAGGCATTAGAGGTACCTAAAGTCACAACCATTGCTATATTTTAAGGTTATATTTAGCTAAGTTTCTAAAACTTATGTATTTGTATATATTGCCTTTACCTGAATAAATATTATTATTATTAATGGATCATGACATAGAGATAATTGAACATATTTTGCACACAAACAAATGAACAGATGCTAATGCAATAAGCTTTTTTAACTACTTATTTTGAAATTGACTTAATTATAAAATGGATGCATTCTTGCTAGTGCTGAAAAAGTAGCTCCTATTTATTGTTTTGTGGCAGCAGTAACAGGGGAGATCCCCAATGCTTTCAGACTTTCAACAACACGAATAAGCAAGAGTGGACACACTGTAATGTCTCGCCTGCTTAACTTATTACAATGGAATAATATATTGAAAGTCTTTCAAATCAAGGTCATCGCTAATTATAGAACCATAGAAATGGTAGTAAAAGTTTGCCTTAAAAATGTCAGATTTATTGTTAGCATGTTGGGTATCAGATCAGTATCAAAACCAAAATTTTGAGAAGGTGATGTATTATAGTAATTCATGCTTTATGTGTACATGAAACTATTTTCAAAAGAATTTCAAGTTATCTACACCTATTTCCTGATTTGGGATCTACTGTTGATTCCTTTATTTTTGTGGATTACTTCATTGAACATTTAAATTGGCTGTTCACCAGAACCCGTGAAATCCATATAAATTGGTATTCCACAAATAATAATGAATCCACAGTATTAGTGATCATGTGACTAGAACATCCTCAATATGCATTAAATTTGACGCTGGACATTAAATAGACATTTGTCATCAACATAACAATTAATGTTATATGAATAATAACCTTGCTTTGTAAAATGTACATGTACTAGTTCACACGGTTACTAAACAGTCAGCAGGACACATTATTCAGACTCCAAACTGACCAGTCTTTGCCCTAACTCCTTAATGCTGCATGCTTAGTAGAGAAGCAGCAAATATCAATTTTAAAGTCTTTGGTTTGACTCGGCCAGGGTTTGAACCCACGACCACCAGCACACTACTATGAGACCACCAAGGTGGTTCAATGGACATGTAAGAATAATATATCTTTGCAATCATATAACATAAAATTAATCAAAACTGTAATACTTCAAAGGAAATCTGTCTGTATGCTTTCCTTGTTTACTTACAATCCTCTATGGAGGTCATCGGATTACAAAACAAACAATGCAAGTTTTGTAGAGGACATGTAAAGATCATTTACATCATACACCAATTCATTATGCTTAGTGTTTTCTGCCAGGAAAATCTTAGAAATTTTGGCCTGTTAGAACCTTTTATTGGTTCTTACTGTCATGTTTCAGATAGGAGGAATCTAATTAGGACCATGCAAGGTACATTCTCACTAAATTTGATCCCATTTCTATCAATTGTTTTTTGAAAAAAAGCTCTTAATACAAATGAAGAATGGTGGATGGACTCTTAGTTATTATAAACTTTAATATATATCTGACAGACTGATCCTAGTAAGTATACCAATAAAAAGACTATAGACTGATGACATACTCACTATAACAGCATAGATAAGGACAGTCCCAACATTGTCAAAAAACGTTCTGTCATGTAAGCTCCATGCTGATTCTAAAATAATCCTGGAAAACATAACAGATACAATACATTCAATAACACTTCCCATACTGTCATGTAAACTCCATGCTGATTCTAAAATAATCCTCACAGTCTTTATACAAGAATTTGTTCCAAACAGGCAGTCCAGTTTTTAAAGAGATGACAACGATTTTACACTCTTTGCTGGTTGTGTTTTTTTATCTGTTCTTTACTATATACTTTTTCTTAGTTTGATATCATTTGTAGGGCACTATTTTTTGTGGATTTTGTTGGTACAGATGAACCATAAATTCAAGTATTTAACAAAATACAACTTTCCTAAAAGGCTTGTATGAAAATGTTGCTATTAACTACAAAAAAAAATCAAGTATCAACAAATATAGAAGATGAAAATTGGTATTCAAAAACATATAGAGCAAAAAAAGATATTTAGTTTGTTGAACCCTGTGCTCTATGTTTCCTAGGCCCAGTTGTAGTTAAAATCAAGATAACTTTCATAATTTTTTCAACCTAAATGGGGTGTAAGTGACAGCACTTTGTTAAAAAAAACTTGACAAAAATCCTATCATTTCACTTTCTCACACTAATAAACTTGAAACATTTTTCATCTTAAAATAATGGACTTACAGTGACCTATAGTTTCTAACATCTACATCATTTGGTCTCTGGTGGATATATATAGTGGTCTCAGTGGCAATCATACCACATCTCCTTATTTTCATATTACTTAAGTAATTAATATTTTGGGCCAAATTGGGCCATAACTGCACCTACTAATTAGTCTTTTGAAATGACTTTTTATTAAAAGCCTTGAAGTTTTCTATTTGTATTGATAGTAACCTTTTTAGGTTGTCAGTTTGACTAGAAACATGTTTTGTAAAATGGAATAGGTCATTTAGGAACTTTTAAACCTTTAAAAACAAGTGAATCTGTGAGCTACTGCTCACTAATGATACCTCGCCCCACTAAAAGTATAAGGTAAACAGGAAGTTGTTGAGTGATGAATCTGAAAACGCATCACACGGTATAGCTGACTCATATAAACCCTGATACCAAATTTCAGAAATCTTTATAATGTAGTTCCTCATAAAGATGCGACGAAAAATGTTCATGGGATGGACAGACGGACTGATGGATGGACTGATGGACGGACGGATGGATGGACGGACGGACAGACAGAGGTAAAACAGTACACCCCCACTTTTTTTACTGTGGTAGGTATCACACATTTGCTAATCACTACAACACTTTGAAAGCCATCATATTAGTTGTGGCTAAAAAGCAGTCTCTAAATTCAGTTATGTAAATACTATGTTTATACTCAGATGTCATGTATAACTACCCTTCTACCAGATATAGACATATTAATTTACTTCTTGTATAACATTGAATAGTTAGTCAGAGTTTGAATCATGTGTACATATTGTTCTTACAACAAACTTGATGGATTGATACTGAAATTTTTCTTTAGATTTTTCTAATCCACTAATTAACACAACCTATCATGCTGGCATTATCTCAAACTTTATAACCTTCCATGGAAAACAATCTTTTTATCTTTACAAATATAGTCTATGCCTTGGGCCTGTATTTCCTGCTGACATATCATTTTTCAGAGAAGTACTACATGTATATTAAGTTTTAACTAATTCCTACTGAGCTATGAATGTCAACATTGATTTATACATGAATGAAATGCATATATTTAGCTGCGCTCAAATGCTATAAAACAGATTAAGGACAAATCCAACAGATAACCAGACTGATAGCTGTTAATATAGAACCAATTTAGCTTTAGATGCAAATTTTATAGCATGACTTTACTAAGCTGATATCGCTAAAATTGTCATCAGTTATGTCAATGAAACTGCCATAATTTTTTTTTAAAGTACCCTAAAAGTGAAAACATTTTATAAATGAATCAAATCTTTTCTGTTGCTATTTATATTCAAAATATTTTTTAATGAAGTCAAGGAAGAAGGAAATATATATTTTCTACGTCAACTTTGTTTTTTTCCTAAATATGTCAACTGTGGAAAACTTGCTATGGCAAACCGAACAAATCTGTCCAAAATCCATCTATAGAGGTGCACAATTATACATTATGTGTAGTCATAGTGAAAATTCTGACCCACAAATACACAGGACAAAAACAATATGTCTCACAAAACAATTCATGAATGTGCTTGGCCATCCTGATTAATTATAGCGTAATCATGCCTTAGCTTTTTGTATAGATGATCCGTTTTAATGATGATGAAAAGAAATAATAAAATACTCCACAGTGCGCAGCTTGATACTAACGCAGAGGTCGAACCCTGAACAGTTGGGGCAAGTATGGACACAACATTCAAGCTTGATACAGCTCTGAATTTGGATTGTGATTATATATTTGACACAGCATAGGTTTCTGACACAGAATGAATGTGGTCTAAGAACTTAAAAATTTGAATTGGACATTTACCTATTATGGTCCAATATCCAAAATCTCAATACATGGTGAAATTCAGTATATCAAAGAATCAAATTTTTGATGAAATCAAACAAAGTTTCATTTTGGACCCTTTGGTCCTCAATTTGGACCATTTGATAACAGGGCACAAAATCCAAAATCTAAATACACGGCTAGATTCAATGTATCAAAGAGACCCAAGAATTCAAGACTTTGAATTAAACCCCATTGAAATTGGTCAAGAAACAAGCAATTTATACAAAGTATTAGAAAAGCATTGTTTTTGGCCCCTTTTTCCTAAATGGTTAGGGCCATAGTCCCCAAAATCAATCAATGGAACCTTGTGGTACAATTTCATGGAGATCCATTGACTTATACTCAAGTTATTGTCTGGAAACCAAATGACTTCATACATACCACGACAACGGCCACAAAAATTTTGCGGTTGTATAAAAATACTATCATTTATGCCATGCTTTCATTTTATAGTTTATGAAGTAGTAGTTGTGACATGTATATTTTCTCACCAAATAAAATCTTCTTTCAATTTTGCTACCTTAAACATATGTAATCATATTCCATTAAAAGAAGGAAAATAGTTAACACAAATATTATTCTCTCCTGTTTTTTTCTATTTTAAACAATAAGCATAATTATAAATTACATAAACTTTTAACAATTCTTGCTATATTTTAACTGGGACTATTATACTAAGTATAATAGTCCCAGATTTTAATTAATCTATAATATGAGAAAGGTGTAAAAGAGAATTGACTTACGGTGGTAAGAGATACAGAAAAAACAACTCTGAACTCATCCCTGGCATATCATCAGGATTGGTAAAGTTCCTGAAATAAATGACAATATCTCAGTGAATGTCAAAATTTTGTGCCGAAAAACAAAAACTTACTTAACTGAATAAGCTCATATTACCCCAAGCACCAACTAGTTTCTACAAGGTTCCTGCTATCAAGGCAGTAAAATAACATAGCTGTCCTCATCTGAAGAGGTTTTACCCATCAAAGAAATGTGCTGGTAATCAAACTCATCCACTATGGAGAGGGCTTACATAGGCTTTGCCTGTTGCCCAATCCAATTCAATTTATTTGAATAAAATACTGTTTAAACTAAACTCATCCAAGTAGTTCATGACTGTTACTGTACTTAATCCCATGCTACAATTGTTGTATAAGGGCAAAGACTTCTAAAAGGAATCAATTGATAGTTTCAGACATTAAGGCATTTTTGTAGATCTGATATTGTTGAAAATTTCTGCTGTTTACAGTTTCTGTCCACCTTCAAAAGTTTCAATAATAGACAGAGGCACTAAAACATGGGAAAAATCACCATTTAAGGGTATTAATTTGTGTATCAAGAAGGAAACAATAAAAATTCAGAATCTGGCTAAAATTTAGCAAAACTAAGAAACTATAACAAAATACATTCCACAGACATAATAATACTTACTTTAAAATTGCACCAACAATAATTCCAAGAATTATCAACAAACTGAAGAAAAAAAAAAGAAAAAGATTAGATTAGTTACAAAATTTAGCTAAATTGCCCTCTACTGTATAAATGATTGAATAAATTGTGTTTCACAATGTGTCATCGTGGTTCCATTATGTCAAAATATGGTAAACGTCCCTGAACTCCAATGCAAATGGTCAAATCAAAATGACAGTCTAATGTGGGCAAATACCCATTTATATAAAAACAATCATACCAAGTTTGAGACCTTACTGTCAGATGGTCTCAGGAGTAACATTTACAATGTGACACTATTACAATACTTAAAAATAAAAGTCAAAGTCAAGTAACTCCTGTATATTTATCATAATGGCTGTACAATATGGCTAACTACACATAATGGCAACCAATCCTACCAATAGATATAGGAAGATGTGGTATGAGTGCCAATGAGACAACTCTCCATCCAAGTTACAATTTATAAAAGTAAACCATTATAGGTCAAGGTACGGCCTTCAACACGGAGCATTGGCTCACACCGAACAGCAAGCTATAAAGGGCCCCAAAAAATTACTAGTGTAAAACCATTCAAATGGAAGAACCAACGGTCTAATCTATATAAAAACGAGAAACGAGAAACATGTATGAACTACATAAACAGACGACAACTACTGTAATCAGATTCCTGACTTAGGACAGGTGCAAACATTTGCAGCAGGATTAAACGTTTTAATGGTACCAAACCTTCTCCCTTTTCTGAAACAATAGTATCAAGTATACGAGCATTCTGTCAAATAGTCTCAGTGGAGTTACATTCACAAGGTGTTGTTGTAAGAATACTAAAAAAAAAAAATTCAAATTCCGTTTTCTCATGTAAAGATGATCAAATCAAAATGACAGTATAACATGGTCAACTAAATTGGATGGCAAACAATCCTACCCAGTATAAGAGCTTTCTGTAAACTGTCTCAGAGGAGTTGCTTTCAAAAGTGATAATGTTATAATACTTCCAAAAATAGTCAAAGTCCCATAACTCCTATAAAAATGGCAAAATTGAAATGACAGTAAAAATGGGCAACTACACACAACCGCAAATAATCCTACTAAGTATGGGACTGTTTTCTGAAATATGGTCCCAGAGGAGTTTACAGCGACATATGGAAGAATGGAATGTGGGATAGGGTTGTACACAAAAGTCATTCATATTTTGGAAGCTAGTACAGTTTGTGGACAAGAGTCATTCATATTTAGGACCCCAGTATGCAATATTTGGACAAAAGTTATTCATATTTTGATGCCAAGCACAAAATATGAGGACAAATGTCATTTTTATTTTGGAGCGTACAGTATGTTTACAAAAGTCTTTCATACTTAGGAACCAGGTGCAGTTTCTGGACAAAAGTCAATCATAATTTAGGAACCCAGTATACAATATGAGGACGAAAGTCATTCATAATTGTTTACCAAGTACAAAGTAAGTGGACAATTTAATACAAAGCTTGTATTGTCAAAAGTCATTGCATCTAGGAACCAAGTACACAGTATAAAGAAATAAATGAAGAATGTGTCTGATTCCCCTGCTTGCATATACTGTTATAAAGGGATATAACTAGACAACTTGATCTGTGTTTTATGGTAATAAGCATTGTGTATACGCTTCATATCATTTATGTCAGGCAAACTGAAGTTAGAGAACGAAAACAAATTTTGGGATGTACATACAGACATATGCACGGACAAGGGTAACACTTAATGCCCCCTTTGTCTAGCTGCGGTGGCATAAAAAGTGATTCATATCTAGGAACCTATATCTAGTATGTTGACAAAAGTCATTTATACTTTGGAACCCACATTGTAACACAGCTTGTATTTGTCAGATGTCATTCATATTTTGGAACCAAATACATAGCTAGCATTTGTCAAAAGTCATTTGTAATTAGGAACCCAGTACACAGTATGTGGTCAAAAGTAATTTTCGACAGCATTTCAAATAACTATCCCACATTATTTCTTTTCTTCTTCAGTCTGTGTATATGTATCTGTGCAATATCAGTGATTAAGCCAACACTGATACAAATGAGAGTACTGACGGCAAAGGAACAATCATAATTAACAAAAATTAATATATTGTAACTAAATACAAAGACAGAGTACTCAACATACTACACAGTTACCAAATTGGTCATGTGATCTCCATATAAAGAAATTTAGAAAATGATGCCAAAGCAATCACAAATTTGACACCTTAATCAATATGATATCCTTTTTCTAATCCAAATATATTTTTGCATCAGTGCCTGGAGTATTGAATCTAATTCTCTCACTTCCTTTAATGAACTAATCTCAGAGAAGCGGCTATGTGACACTTACATTAATACAACTATGTAACACTGACATATATATATAGCAACATGACCAATAATGGTTCTGGACCTGAGTCCCTGCTTGTAATTGATTTAGGTAACATATGTGTACTGAAGCTTATCTGATGAAGATGATTTTATAAACTATGTTCAATTGGACATGGATAGAGTACTTTTATTGATGTAATTAGTGTTATGTTAAGGGATGCAAAGGTTTGAATATAACAATTTACTTAGCCTAACAATTATTATATTTCTGAAAAGGTTTGATGAAGAATCTTATTATGTAAAGATAATGCACATATAGGATTTCATCAGCAGCAACCAGAAAATTTATTTCTCCTCTTAAAAAATTATGACACATAATCAAATTATCAGCAAACAGGAAGTGTCTGCACGGAAGATGTAAAAATTGCTTACACACTATAAAATTTTTGGCTTCCACAGAAGTCAAGAAAAGTTTTACGAAAATTTTCTGTGTACGCAATGACTACAAAACTATTGGCATGCAGGAAGTAGCTGCATGGCAGATCTTAAAGTGCTTACACACTGTAACTCAACATTATAAAGCTGAAGACCATATAAAATCATTACCTGTCTTTAATGAAAGTTTTCTACCAAAGGTTTTTCAGATAGACAGATAGCTATAGATGGAATGACCAATTTATAGGGTCAAGCGATTACTAGACCTGCTTTTGCCATTGTTGATGCAGGTTATAACATTGATCAGGCATAACAGTATAATCACACCACAAGGTCATTGAAGTCAAACTCTGTACTTTTAGGGAAACCTACTGTAATGAAAGCTTGGAGGAAATAATTTTACTGTTGATATCTTGTAGAGAGATCTAGATTCATAGGATTTCCATCAACTTCAAAGAAGCCAACACATCTATTGTTGTTGTTATGATAAACCTAGGGGACATTTGAAGTAACTGTGTACCTTAAAGTTTGGTCACAGAAGCAATACACAAAAGTCATATTAGCCCCATGTTGATATATATATTGTCTTTGTTACACTTCAGCTTTTGGATATGACCTTGAGTTAAAGTCATGATGCACTTTGGGTTAGGGGAACAATGGATAAAGTGTAACTATAATCCAAGCAGACAGAACATATTTTGGCTTGGAAACTATGGTAATAAATGAACAACTTTGATCTTGACCTTCAGATATAACCATGTGTTGAAATGACATATCCCTAGAAATTAAACACCATTCGACATCTTGATATTGAAATCAGTAGTTTATATTGGATACTTTTTCTTTTTGTTTTCAACCTTAAATCCAACTTGCTAATCCGTATGAAATTATGAGGCGTATTACGCCTGGAAATAAGGCGTAAACCAGGCGTAAGTAGTAGTTACGTGTCTAGATCCAGGCGTAAGGGAGCAGGAAACGTAAATTTGTAGTCCTTACGGGCGTAGAAAAAAGTGGTAAACCTGGCGTAAATTGAAATAAGGAAGGCGTAAATTTTCTTACGGGCGTAAAACTGTTGGTATGGCGTAAATCATAATACCCATAATGCTTTGTTTAAAGGATCATGGGAATTTTTTTCCAAAATTTGGCTCTTTGGTTTTAGTTTGCAAGAGTTGGACTTAATGCAGCTTCATACATTCAGGGATAATTAGCTTGTTTTGTGCTTTTTGGAAGAATTTGGAAATATGGAATCAAATTGATTAATAAAAATTGTGAAAAAAACGGAAAGTAATACATGGTAAATAATAATTATGTGAGTATATTACCTAAGTTATTAAGTTAAAAGTTATAACAGTAATTTTGAAATCCCAAAACCTTTATCCTTGGATAATAACATTAAAATCTTTTACATGAAGTTAAATTGCAGTATTATCATTCATATTTTAAAGGACATTAATTTATAAAAAACTTAGTTAATCAAAATGCAGAAGTTTTATTTCAAGAAAAATTAATTGTCATAATTCTTATTTAAACTTAAACTTATTTAAGCCAGTGTCTGTCTGAAATGTCTTTATTTATATATTAAGCTTCTTCAATGGTTAATATTTCCAGTTTTATGTCAAATAATGATAAATTAAAGCAACAGTACAGAAGTTTGCATTAAATACACAAAAGTACACAGCTAGGGTACTACACTGATTTGAAATAAGTGTAGTATTATGTAAGGATATTACGCCTGGTTTATTTATTAACCAGGCGTACTCATTTGCATTTTACGCCTGGTTTTCTCTGGACCAGGCGTACTCATTTAAATATTACGCCTAATTTTACGCCTGGTTTCCGCCTCAGTTACGCTTGGTTTCCGCCTGGTTTACGCCTGGTTGACGCCTGGACATGCATTCCTTAAACACTGCAATGACGCCCGGTTAAAGTATGATTTTTACGCCTGGTTTCCGTGTCATATACGGGCATCACAGTTCGTACAGGATTTCATCAGGACATTAATATTTTTAGACTATAAAATTCCCTTCATATAAATTATATAGATTACTAGGAAGTTATTTAGTCCAGAGAGGCCTATAAAGAAACCTACTTATTATACCACTGGTACCAATGTAAACAGAATTTGGTTTGTTCAACATCAAATCAGTGCAAATAATCCATAAACAGTTTCTGTCTGCCATAACAAAATATACTGGTTCATATTCAGTTATGTTGACAAAAACTATTTTTCATAGGACAATTATTAATGGTACA